ATAAAGTTTCATGTGTCTTGGTTTCATTTTAACAGCAGCGGTTTTTCTGTTATGTTATTGCTCAATTTTAAGACGACAAAAAAACAGTCGGGAGGGTCACCAACATCCTGATTAATGGCAGTGGGTGTTACCTCAAAATAAGGCTGAATTACTTCTGCAGTCAAACACCTGGAAGCCTTAGCTTTAACCCCATGATCAAAAAAACCAACAAACAAAATGACCAACTTTCCCTGTCTTTGTACCTCGAGGCCCTCCAGCCAGGCTCCATTATTAATACACTTGCCTGCTAAATGCTTTATCCATCCTTCACCCAACTTAGTTTAAATCAAATCCCAAAATGTCCCCATCTCCAACCTCATCTCTCTTGTGCATTTTCTGTTCTTGCAAAAAGATCTCATAAGTACCAAAACACACACGCAAATGTCGAGCACTGTGACGTTAGCGATGCTATCTTGAGATCAAAGTAGCTGGCTGCCTTTTATAACTCAAGTAGTCCAATTTCATTCAGAAGCAGACACCCCGAGAAGGCTTTTGATAATCTACACTGTCTGATGAGATTTCCATTGAAATAAGTTGGGAAGAGGAAAGGAAAGATACAGAACAGGGAAGTAAATCTGAGAGACGAGGAAATGGGACAATTGAAGGAAGAATGATGGGGGAGTGGAAGAAGACGGCAGGAGAAAGAAGACAAAATGGGGAAAAGGAGTGGAGACGAGAAGCTCTGTAGTTAAAGCTGATTGATCAATCTATTTTTGCTCATTTTTTGAATTGCTTCTGTCGCAGCCTCTTTGCTCCGTGTCTCCCTGAATCACACTCCGTCTCTCATGCCCTCACTTTTCCACTGTTTATAAGTCATCTATCAGATAGGCAGACGTGTAGATGGAACAAAACTCGTCCCTGTAATTTATTCTGCTGTTTTTGCCAACATTCATTCCTTCTCCTGCATGATGACTTCCATTTGTCAGCCGCCTCTGCGTCTTTAAAATGAATCCATTTGCCTCTGAGTTGCTCCGTTTCTTTATTGCAAAAAGATGCAGTTTGGCAACAAATGCTAAAAGATGAAATGAGAATTGGTGTCGTGATGACTCAGTGGGTTCAACTATATTCCCGCAACATCAAATCTGACTCATGACTTCCTCTGCGTGTCGGCTCCCTCTTCTGCCCTTCCTTCTCGCTAACCGCCATAATAAAAATATAATAGGAATGGGGGTAAGACGCCCGCTTTAATTTGTTTAGACCACAGCTTGAGTGCTGCTCTTACAGCCGAAAGATCTTTGCATCAGCTGGAAAATTTGTCAATAAAATATCGGTTCATGAGGAATCACAGTAAATAATCAAATGTGTTTAAGCCTCGTGATGTTTTCATTAATCTACTGAAAGGAGCAACAGTAAATGGATCTGCTATTCTATGTGTATGTGCATCGATATGTCGATGTGCTTCTGCTCCGCGGGTTTGAAGTAGGGCTGCACGATTTTGCATAAAATGAGAATCACGATTTTTTT